CCCCCCCCTTGCCCCTCATCGCGACGCCTATGTGAGAGGTCAGTGGTCTTTATATACCCGTTTTCCATTATTACTTCAAAATGCCAACTTTTCATGTCCCGAGTCTAAGTAATGAAACAAATAATTTTGACTATTGTTCTACATGATCTCATGAATTCAGACCCAAGGACGATTTTGTTATTTAGAGCATCTGATCCCCATGTCCCCTGTTTTCATGCCCGGCGACGTAGCCGCAACAGAACGTACATGTATAAATTATATGGTAAAAGGGTTCAAACAAAATGTGGCTGGTTATCGTGAACCAGAAATAATGTTCATGGTTGGGTAAAGCGCTTTGGCTACTTTGATTCCATGCAAAGATCATAAATCAGAAGTTTTGAAGAATAAAAATGACAAGGTAAACAAAGTCAATTGACCTGTCCCAGGGCAACGGAGGTCTGATATGCTCTTCCCACTAGGAAATTATTTTAATGGACACCTGAATAACAGTAGTACATCTGTGAAGTTTCAATTCAACCTGTTGAAATGCTTTGTTGTCGTGGTCATTTAAAGTCGGCACTCTCATGCGCCCTCCGATGTACGTCATACATGTAATGGAAAAGTTAACATTTAAGCCTATACCTGTTTTGGTATTTGAAAAATTTGTGACGAAGGTATGCCCTATTTTAATAGAATTGGTGTCAAAATGACCACAAGACATCAGACCAACTGTAAGAGAAACTTGGCAGAATTTAATAAATGCATTGCGACGATAGGAGCCCAAATGTATACGGAGGGGGTGCAGCCCCGCCCTCTCCGCGCTGTTCCCGCCGCTCTTAAGTTAATTAGTCTGACCAAAAGGAACTCTTCATTGGAAAAGTTAACATTTTAGGCCCACCTGTGTTGGAAAATGGACTTTCTTCCTCCATTCTTCCGTCAGAAAGTACATTTCTTTTCTATTTTTTACCTCATGTGAACTGCGAAGATTCATTGGACAAAAAGGAAAATGACAACAATTTTAGGTTTGCTTTGGTGAACATTGGGATCGGTCGTGAGCGAACCCTGCTGTTTAATATTCTTCTATATTATAATTCCATTAATAACATTATTCACGGTATCGTTTTAAACATTTCTTCTACAAGATCTTCTGAACAATGTTTAATATTCTTCAATATCGTAATTCATTATTTAAATAATGCGTAATAGCATCCACGAATTCTTCGAGAAAAACATTCTATTAGATAAACGAATCAAAGCAAAAAGTTATTCTTGTGCATCGGATTATTTTCTCCGTGCTTCATTTTTTTTTTTTTTTTTTTTTTTACTTGCAAGACTGAATTAAATGTTTAATTTAATTTAATTTAATTTTCTATTACTCAGTATTCAATCAGCCCTTTTAATACTTAAAAGTAAGACTTGAACATGTTTCCAACCGCAAATCGGTTTTAAGCCGGAAAAGAGGCTTGTGTCTTAAATGCCAAGGTTCCTAGTAGCAAGCAAATTAGACTTGTTGTCTAACTGAAAATATACGTTCCTGGCGCTCTCCGTTTTCCACCTGCCCTGTTTGGATATCAGGAATGGAGGAACGTTTGCGTTGAAGGCAGCAGATGCCCCGCCTGATCTCAAGCTGTGAAGACCGTAAGTGGCAACATCGGGGACGATGGGTCGTAGAGCGTCCAGTACTATCTCGCGTGTGCGTGTATAGCTGAGTGGTTTGGTAGACGATGTAAGGCCTTTCTTGGTGGCAACAAGTCTGCGAAGCACCGGTAAGGTTGAGTTGTTGGAATCGCCTAGAGCCGAAAAATACCGTTCGGCCACGAGCACTGGGCAAGTCGGTTTGAAAGTCCTAGCGATCACGACATCTGTCCCTTGCCTAAATTGGTCAGACTTGGATTTGCAAAGGTGTATGGTAAGACGGTCTGAAGAAATTGTACAGTCATTTCTGCTAATGTTTCTTATGTCATCGAAGCGAAGGAATCCGGCGTAAGAAATGAAACAAACAAACAGGATGCGCAGATCTGCCAGTGTTGCTGAGGAGTGACCGTGGTTGATATGCAGCTTTGTCAGAATGTCTGGTGTGATTGGGTCTTTCCGGATGGTCGGTGAAGAGTTCTGCCTTTTAAAGCCTTGCAGTGCCATCTTGACAATGCTGTTGTCTGTTGGTGAGGGTAGACCAGCCAAACTGTGCACCCATTTGACGGCTGCTACAGCAAGTTCGGCGGTGGACTTGGATCCGGTGGATGACAGATGCGATATGTAGAGTGCAAATTGGAATGGGTTGACCGGGAACTTGGTAATCTCTGGTTTTGATGAAGCCCAGGTCTCCCACTTTGTCCATGAAGCCTTGTACTTGGTCGTGGTGGATTCGGCCTTTGCTGACATCAAGAGAGACGGCAGTGTGCTGTTTGCCAGTTCACGGAGGGATGAGTCGCGGAGGGTAGATGTATAGTTGTTCCATATTTCTGTAGAGGAAAAGTGAAAAAGACCACCCAACAGTACGGGTAACAATGACGAACAAATTCGTCTGTTTATATAAACATATGTTCCTGCAAAAATGGAACGTTAACAATTTCGAAGAGAAACATTTCTTCAGTGCCTGTATTTAAAGCGACAAACTGTGCAAATAGCCGCAAATCGGCAATTTTTTGGCAACAAATAGCCGAATCGAAGAATAAAGTCATGTTGAGTTCTGTTAGACTATTTAATGAGTTATTTATTTGTTGAAAGAAATATTTTTGATTGAGGAGTGTTATCGGTTCGATGCCGAGTGTCGGCGTAACAGGTTTTGGCCTGCTACTCGGTGGCCACGAAAAAACCCCTGTGGGGGAAACGTGGGTGCAACCCGGACCGTCGGCGGAGGTGCACTCCCCTGAACCGATTTCCATTATTAATTGAGTTAATTTAAATGGGTTGGGAAGGGTGGGCAAGTCTGGTGTAGCAGGGTGTGTCGCTTGACCGAGAATGAATGCTTAGAACTAAAGCAGCTCTATATAAAGGAGATTAGGTGAACATTCTTGATTGCATAACCTGACGTAAGCGCTGCAACGAGCCAATTAGCATATCGTACAAAAAACGAAAAGAAATTCCACTTTCTTCCTCCATTCTTCCGTCAGAAAGTACATTTCTTTTCTATTTTTTACTTCATGTGAACTGCGAAGATTCATTGGACAAAAAGGAAAATGACAACAATTTTAGGTTTGCTTTGGTGAACATTGGGATCGGTCGTGAGCGAACCCTGCTGAGGAACGCAAAAGAACGGGGGTTGGAAAATCTATAGTGGTTGGGCTACAAGGACTGCTGTATTGCTGTGAAAACAAATAATCACATCACGGCGCCAAGTGGCCGGTGTCATAAAATTATATGCACGGTTATAACGATCAAAGTAATGGTGTCAAACGACCATGTCCAACATTGAACAACTACAAACTAACCAACAATTCTGGTTTGGTTCAACATTTTTTAAGCACTGAAAATGGAAGTGTACGCCGGTATCAAATAACCCAGTCAAATTTGATCTATAAGCACTTTTGGCAGTAGCCAAGGTCAGAGCAACAAAAATTCTTGTTGTCCTTTCTGCCAGGGACCGTATGGTCAATTCTCAAGGCCAGTGACAAAAAATTGGGCGTTTTATTGAAAACTGAGTTGCGATCGAGCAACGGTGGAGAGAAAGAAATGTTTAAGAGCCGCCAGTTGTGAACGAAACTGTTTAAATGGACGCCATCATTACACAAGGAAGGCCAGAAATATGCCGAGGTCCATTTTGGGACGATAAGGGTGCCGTAAGCTCTACATTTTGCAAGATGCCTTAAAACGGCTACTATGAGGGAAACTGGTGGGCAAATGTAATTATTTTGATTGCACCAATTGTGACAGAAAGCGTCTACGCCAGAGGTCCCCTTGCACCAGAATCTAGAATTAAACTTCTGGACCTTAGAATTACAAGGGGAGGCAAATCGGTCAATTGAATGGGGGCCCCATAACTCGTCGACAAGCGTGAAAGTTGTCTGGTCAATGGACCAATCGTCGTAATCGGTAACCCTACTGATGCTGTCTGCGATAGTATTGATATTTCGAGGAACCCACTCCGCAATTATGACAACATTGTGTTTCAAACACAGGTTGAATATGGATATGGCTAATGATTGCAGGTCGGACTTTGTGCTTCCGTGTGCTATGATCCGGGGAACGTTGGTGTTGTCCGTGAACCACCTGATTTTTTCGTGTGCGCAATGCTCACTCGACTCGGACAGTATTCTGAAGACGGCTGCTAACTCTCGCCATGTTGAACTGCGTATTTTCTCAGACTCCGACCAGGTTCCGTTAAAAATCATTTGGGGAGCGTCTTGCACGTATCCACCCCAGCCAGTATCGCTTGCGTCCGAATAAACTACGCGAGACGGCGTGTGCTGGTGCTTTATAGAAAAAACCGTTGTACGCATCTAGGTTTGATTGCCAGAAATTCAACTCCGTGACTGTGCGATCCGATAAGAGCATGCAGTCAGACCATGAGGACCTGGATTCGGTAGTTTGATATGTGGCGCGTGTCTAGCCCCATAAATGTGGCCTATTTACTGGACTGCCTCCGTAAACATAGGCCACACATCCACATGTACAAAAATCGTGTTGACGGAGCCAAATTTTGATTTTCACATTTAGGCTTAGTTTGTAGGTTTTTTTTGCTTTAGAAGCATACTCACCCTCTTTACAGGCTAATCAGAAAGTGCTGCCTTTTTCAGATGTCTAATTTTTGTGAAATTTCATGTTGAAATTTTGATACGCAAACGTGTAAAAATGAATCTTGAAATTTCACGAAAAATATACATCTGAAAAAGGCAGCACTTTCTGATTAGCCTGTAAAGAGGGTGAGTATGCTTCTAAAGCAAAAAAAACCTACAAACTAAGCCTAAATGTGAAAATCAAAATTTGGCTCCGTCGACACGATTTTTGTACATGTGGATGTGTGGCCTATGTTTACGGAGGCAGTCCAGTAAATAGGCCACATTTATGGGGCTAGCGCGTGTCATGAGGCGCGTTACTGGTCCTAGCGCTACTGACATGGATATTATTTGACCGGTGATGCTAGCGAGAGATTTTGCATGGGTTGGGATGGAGAGGGCGTGATCTGACAGGACTTTGTCGATTGATACTTTAAGTTTCGTAATTTTAGTGGGGGGCACGGTAAATGTCAAAGTGCGCGAATCTATGATCATGCCGAGGAACTTGATGCTAGTCTGAGGATGCCACATGCACTTCGTTTTACTTGGGACGAATCCGCTCTTGACTAGAGTTTGTTTAACGGTGAGAGAGTTGTGCAGTGCGGTATGAAAATCTGGGGATACTATGATGCCGTCATCGATGTAGGCAAACGAAGTGATTCCTTGTGCGCGCCAATGATAGATGAGCGGCCTGGTGATCTTAGTAAATATGTAACACGCACTAGAGAGACCGAATGGTAAGACGCGAAACACGTAGAATTTAGTGGTGGAGTTCTTAGATCTCCAAGAAAAACCGAGGTATTTCTGTTGGGGACCGAAAACGTCAACATGATGGTAGCCGGACTCGAGATCGAAACTGAAATAGTACTGGTTGTGATCTAGAATTTGAGATATGTGGGATAGATCTTCGTATTTGAACTTGGTCTTGTAAACAAATTGATTGGGATGTCGAAGATCTAGAACTAATCTTAGCTTCTTCCCTACGGCAACTGTGAGAGGGTTACAGCAGTAAGGCGGACTATCGACCTCGTATATGCACCGTTTTCTCAACAGCTCAGAAATGGCTTGTTGTACAAACTCGGGGTGGTCTAGGCTAGATGCATTGTTTTTTGCTATGAATTGAGGCGGAGTGGTTAGGAACGGGATTTTATAACCTGAATCCAAAACATCTATCACAAAATTACTGGCCTTCAAAACACTTCTCCAAAAGGAAATGCATTGTTTTAATCTACCTTGAACTCCTTCTGGTGTTTTGCCATCGAGTTGATGTTCCCAGACTCTACTGCTTGTCGGATGTTCTGGATCCTTGCAGTCTTGGTTGATGGAGTGCTCGAAGGGATGGACATGTTGTGCGCACATGTCCTTGGATACCGCATTGGAAGCAGATACGGTTGTCGTGATAGGCTCCCTGGTAGGGACGAAAATACTGCTGACGAAAAGGAGTAGCAGTACGCATATTGGCCGCCATCGTCTTGGTTTGGTATGGTCTGCTGCTACTGCTGGCTCGCTTCTTGGGGGCCGGTTTCTTAGCAGCGGCTGCCTTCTCGGCTTTTTTGATTCTCTTTTCATCGCTGGAGTCCTCGGCGAGGGTATCCGCCACGTACTCCTTGACAACGCCCCAGCCGAGCTCCGATCTGTCGGCGAGTCGAATTAGTTTCTGACGCTCTTTGGTGGCTTTGATTGCTTCTTTCAGATTGCTTTTTGCTTCGTCTAGGTCAAGCGTTTCGATGTTCTGTAGCGAGGTTTCGATTAAGGTCAGCACTTTCTCGCAATGAGAAAATTGCTGCTGATTACCGTCCCTCTTGAAGGTAGGTGTGTCGGTGAGTTTCTGCTTCTTGCAAGCAGATTGGACTTTTGAGTCTATAGAGTTTGTCAGAGCTTGGATGGCTTGCAAGATTTCTTGATTGCCGCCAACGGGCTGAGGCTGTATATCGCTCTGTGACATGACGCATAAGCAGAAGCTGTATTGGCAGTCACTAAGTCTGGTGTAGCAGGGTGTGTCGCTTGACCGAGAATGAATGCTTAGAAGTAAAGCAGCTCTATATAAAGGAGATTAGGTGAACATTCTTGATTGCATAACCTGACGTAAGCGCTGCAACGAGCCAATTAGCATATCGTACAAAAAACGAAAAGAAATTCCACATTTCGTGACTAAGTTATGCCCTGTTTTTTTATATACTTGAAGTCAACATAACTGCAAGACATCAGAACAACTATCAAAGAAACTTGGCAGAATTTAACAAATGCCTTGCGACGATAGGAGCCAAAATGTACATGGTGGGGGATTGATGCCCCGCCCCCTCTGCGCTTTTCCCGCCGCTCTTAAGGCAAATAGTCTGACCTAAAACCACTCTTAATTTATATTTGTATATTCCATGAGTGCCAGGGGCGGCGGAACCGGGGGGGGGGGGGGGGGGGGGGGGCTGGGGGGCATTTGCCCCCCCGATTTTCCCAAGTGCCCCTTTTGCGGCCATAAATGTGCCCCCTCGAACAGCTAAGTGCCCCCTCAAGATACAACCAAAATGCCCTTAAAGTATCTTACTATTTCTTAGAAGTAACCATATCCCAAAAATGGTGTAGATTTTTTGATATAAACGAGGAATATGAAAACCAAGTCCCAAAACCCATACAATACGGCCTGAAAATGGGCACATAATGCATATTTAGCATACAATCATTGGTTTTGAAGAGCGCCCCCTATGTTAAAAGGTGGTACCCCCCCCCCCCCCCCCCCCCATTTGATTTTACGGAGGCCAAGTGTCCGGAGAAAGAAACGTGTCGATATTTCAGCACGGGTTTACAAGTGCCCCTTTTTGGTGATGCCCCCCCCCCCCCCAGTTTCAACCCCGTTCCGCGGCGCCGCTGATGAGTACTAAGGCATCAATACAAACTGGTTTCACTTTCTCCTCTACCGTTGCGTTGCAACGGTATCAGCGAAAAGGAAAAGGAGGGGTGAACGCCACGCCCACCCTCCGCGCTTTTCGGGCCGTTCTTAAGTTAATTAGTCTGATCTAAAATCATTCTTAAGTTATATTTCCATATTCTACAAGTTCCAAGCTATCACATGATACTGGTTTCGTTTTTGTTCTCAAAATTTTGATTAAATGTAAAATTGGCCCCATGGCGCCAATGGGCCTTAGTCTGATCTAGCGAAACTTAAGAATGGCCATTCTGTGATCAGGGTCGATAATACTATGCTTTAAGACAATCAGGGGATTTGTTCCCGAAATTTTGATTAAACACTATCCAGCTCTCCGTTTATATCCCTTTGGGGCGGGAGGAAGGCCCGCGGCCCCCGCAACCGTTCCTATAGGGCCGATTGAAATTTAATGCTTTCCCCATGCTTTTCCGATCCTTGACCATGGGGTCAAAATGATGCCACAACCAACTCTCTGGCGTGTCCATGGTTGTCATGGTGATATGAGCTGAAATCTCACACAAACTTCTACCCCATTATTTGTTATAGCGCCCTCTTCGTGTTGAAGGTGTAAAATGACTCAGTAGTCAGGTGGTTTGGATCCAATTTTTGACATGATCGTGACCGACTACTCCAAAGCACCTAACTTGGCAGATAGACTCTTATAGCCATAGAGAAGATATTTAGAAGGGGTGACACCTGAAATTCGTTTGCGAAGGGTGCCTAATTCTCATAAATCGTAAATACCTGCTGTGTAATATGATTATTTGTTCCCATATTTGGGTATATTTTTTTTTATATTTTGAAAAGTATATTTTGGTGAATTCTACTTTACACCTCCTTACTTCAATAACATTTTCTAAAGCATATACGTGACTGGATAATTATGAGGCAATAGTAACGACCCAAAATTGCCACTATTACACCCAAGCTAAAGTTGAGCGCATTTACTTTGTCTCCACATATCATAAACTTGCCGAAGCTCAGTATTGATGAGCTTCAAATTCACCAAGTTGCTTATGGGCACAGTTACCCTTTTAAAATTGTATGGAAAGCACTGTGAACAATGATAACATTTTGATATTTATCTAAGAAAAAAACTGTGGGAGACTTAAAAAGTTCGAGGAAATTTCCAAAATTATTGGTAAGAAAACGTTTTTACTTAGACATAATTATTGTAAACAACAAAAATATCTTACTTTGGGGGATTTCCATGAACTTGTTCAAGTCCCCCACATTAGGCAACCCTTCACCTAATTTTTAGCCCAATTACAGACACCTCATTGTCCCCCTTTTTGGGCTAAATATCAAGATGCTATCATTTTTCACTTGATTTCCCATTTATTTTGGTTGGGGCAACTGTGTCAGAAAGTAGCTTGTGAATTTGAAGCTCATCAATACTGAGGTTTGGCGAGCTTGATGATATCTGAGGAAAAGGTGAATGCGTGCAACTTAAGGGTATAATCGTGGCCATTTTTATTTATCTATATGTCCTCATAATCATCCAGTCTCTGATATGCTTTAGAAAAATGTTATTTTTAAGTAAGGATATCACCAAAATATACTTTAAATAATATTTTTTTTAAAATGTGAAACACACTCAAATATGGGAACAAATATATTACACAGCAGGTATTACTGCGATGCAAATTAGGCACCCTTCCCACATTTTTTTTCAGGTGTCACCCCTTCTAAATATCTTCTCTAGGGCTATAAGAATCTATCTGCCACGTCTGGTGCTTTGGACCAGTCGGTCACGGACCATATGCCACGTGACAAGTAATATGTCAAATTTGAAAGCATTTGAATGGAATTTGAAGAAATTGTGTCAAAGTACTGTTGACCAATTATTTTAAAAAAAAACATGGTGTAGCGTTCTCTTGTGCTGACCGCAGCGCAACCAGCCCTCCCCTCATTCAAAATGACAATTAGTCACCTGAAAGGTGCCATAATTCTCACAAATTTGCGTATCCCCCAAACGCCTTGCCGAAAATAGGCTACAAGTTGACGGTAAAACGGTCACGTTTTACCAAAGGTTTCCCCATGTCAGGGGCGTATCCAGCCTGGTTCAAGGTGTGAGTGTGTGTGTGTGTGTTTGGGGGGGGGGGTAGTAGGCACGTGCTACTTGTTCATGTTTTTCCTATTTTGGCTCGGGGTGGGGAGGGGGGTGGGTGTAAGACCCCCCAAACACCCCCCCCCCCCCCCCCAACAAAACAGCCACGTACTGCACGTTCGTGCACGATTAGTTCAAACTATGGAATTACTCCCTCATTTGTTTGTTCTTAATTTCCAAATTCTCAAAATCAACTTAGATTACGCAGCCTGTGGTAACGAGGTTATTCCATTATTCGATTACTCTTTCCCTCCCAATTTTCAAGGCAACAATGAAGCCATGTCACAATGGCAACTATTAGTAGCGCCCTCTTTGGACTTGAATGAGAATGTTGCAGGCAAAATTAATGAAGACACTCACCAAAAGAAATTTGAATAAACACAAAGGCTTTAATACACGAACGCACTTCCATTAAGTAGAAAAATATAGGTGGAAAGTAAAACTAAACAAAGTATAAATCAATTTCCAAATAAAACCTCCTCATTACAAGAAAGCCTCTAACATGGAATGTTTGCAGGAACGTCAACGTTTAAGTACTTACACACTCAATAGGAATAAACAATAAAGACTCTAAAAATGTAACACCGTTTCAAAAGTGACAATCGATAAAAACATGCCAATTACTCACAGAAATTGTGAAAAATTTCAGCCATGAGGTGTGGCCTTTAACTTGAATAGGTTGTACATGTACACACTTCAAAATTGTGATCTAAACATCTGACCATCACCGAAAATCAAACAATTTAATACATGTTTATATAACTATTATTGCAAGCATTCAAACAATCACTTTCTATTTACATTTCTTTTTTTAAATTTAGCCAAGGCCTGTATATGCGTATGTGTGCTCCCTCCCTTCCCAGCCCGACAGTGTTTACAGATTTACAATGATCCGAAGGTCTTTCTTCAAAGACTAAGGCGATTAACTTCGTAGGAACCAGGCTTTACAATATCAAAATTTCGGAAAAAAGTCAAAACATCAAATATTTCAAGGTGTTTTCTGCAGGCAAAGTTCATGAAAAACTATGTAAGACAAAAAGTCATGGTATAATTCAAGACAAGACATTTTGCTTAAAAGTTCTTGTAAATGAGCAAACAAAAGTTTCAATATGAGCCTCTTACCAAATTTTGCATCTGCATCAGTGGACGACAAAATATATACTCTTTAGACTGACTGAGCCCCAGGAAAAACTATATAGCCGACTATTAAAAAAATTTTAAAATAGTTTTGCAGCCTATAAATTTACTTGATATGAAGAAAGTAAAAGTTTACACTTCTGAGTACACGCAATACTATGCAAAACAGGCCAATATATACACACATTAATCTTATACAAATATCTGAACTTCAGAACATTTTTAAAGGTGTTCAGTTTATATACACTGTTAACATATACCCAAAAATAATACACTTTCTTTTAAAAAGCATGTAAGAATACTTTTCTTGTTTCAGGAAAAAAAATCTTGTGCAACTCTCTAGAATACAATCCTAGGCAAAAGGTGGCAAGAAATAATTTCTTGAAATAAGAAACCTTTTTCTGGTGTAAAGAAAAATCATAGTTGGTTGTGTATAATGGGTATACGAATCGTATTCAAAGGTGCAAGGCAAAACACAAAATTTCAATCTGTGAAAACATCCAAAAAATTACGAAAAGCTGTCAACCACTCTGAAGTTTTTATACATATTTATAACAATTCCCCTTTTAATTCTTCACCCTGTTTTGCTATTAAAGACCTTCAAAGAAGGGTTACCAAATATATTGCAAAACATAGTATCTGTCTTGATACATGTTCATGGAGTTAAGTACTAGTCACACCAAGTTGTGACAAATCTGGTGATCTGAAACTCAGAAAATGGCAAATTTTGGCAGTAAGAATTGCAGTGCTATAAAGTGACCTAAAAATACAACCTATCTCTCTCTGGCATGTTAGTTTCCACCTAAACCCCATCTACACTGAGGTAGAGTTTCATAGGGAATGGGGCCAATATATGCCCACTAGTGCCCTCACTGCTAGTCAACATTTAAAAGCCTAGCTTTCTCCAAACTGCAATCTGCATTTTGAAGAAATGTTTTACCTGTTGGTTAAATGTCAGGCTCTTAGATAAAATAAAGCAAGTACTTTTACCCCCATAAAAAATACAAATATTTATGTAAAAGACAAAAGCAAACAGTTAAAAGCCTCTTAAAACTAAATTCTACCAAAAAAAACTCTGTTTGGCGATGTATAAAACTCTGCACTCTTGTTGTGAAAATGATAAATTCCTACAAAACATATATATACAATTTCAAGTTCAATAAGGGACAATGTTTCACCCTTACAAGTGGGATAAAGAAAAAACTTTTCAAAATTATGGAGAATCTGGACAAAAACTGATTAAAAAAAAACTAACTTAGTATGTATGACTTTCTCTTCAACTACTACATGTAGTGGAATAATATATTCTTCAAGTTTTAGGACAAGTATTTAGTTATGAAAATTTTCGGAATCAGTTCGGAATTTTATATCATTCATGGATGCAAACTATTAAAGCCAAAATAACAACAAAAGGGTGATGCCTCTTGATCTGTTAAAATATTCAGTGCGTGTAGTATCTGTTTGGGTTGTATCTTCCTGCAGTTAAGTTTCCTCTTCAAACTGCCTTCAAAAGTGTAAACAAAGAGCGGATTTAAAGAAACTTTGTAGGAAAAATATATGCATCATTGTGTTTCTGATATAACTTTGCACATTTCATCATAATAAGGTGGCCTGATTTTGTTTAATAAATCAAAAGCTCATTTTCTAAATTCTGAATGGGGAGGGGGCACGAGGTGGGGGCATGGGTCCAAAACTAATATTTCAGGAAAAAAAGAGTTGACTTGTACCTCACATTCAAAGCTCAAAATCTGACAGTAAAAACAAATGTTTCAGTCTTGACTCAAATGATTAAAATCTCTTTTGTATATGAATGCCTGTGTGTACTTGGTAATTCTCACTCAGCTCAAGAGATTCCAATGGCATTACATGGACAGCTATAGAAACTGGTTCTTTTAGTAAACATGCATAACTTCTGATAGCACAGATCAATTTCAGTAATTTTTTTTTCAGATGAGTGAAAGAGCATGCTCTTTAAGACATACTTTTTTGGTGTATCAAATTTGATTGTTTTTTTAAGAAAAAAAAAATCATTAATCAAGGTTACATTCCTTTTGACCCAGCCTGTACAACAAATTCTATCAAATTCTAACCTTTTGGTGACAGTCTTTGCATCTTTACGCGTAACTCGGGGCCACTTTGTTGCTGAAACAAAAACAGTTTAATAAACGTTACTTTTAACATTCATACATACAAAATTAACAAAATAAGTCACATTCACATGTGAAGTTCTTTACATAAATATATCCGTTTTTTTCCCCCTTCTTAATCTGTTAATAGGTGATGTAAACGGAACTTAATAGCTTTGGGTCACCTTGGGTGGTAAGCTTTTTCAATACCAGGTTAAACCACTACATGCTTCTTGTCTTTGTTATGCATACATTTTATTTGTTATCATTGTTTTTAAAAATAATTTGGGGGGCTAATCATCGTTTCTCTCAGTGACAATCTGAATTGCGATGGATGCATCTACAAGGTGGTCGAGCCTCAGGTATGTAAAGGCACCTTAGGCAGCTGCCATACGACACATGTCTGACAACGGAGCACAGCCAGAGATCGAAAAATGAAATTTTTGCAGAGGGAGGAAAACCGGAGAGCCCGGAGAAAAAAACCATGAGGCACAGGAGAGAATCAACTCACAATGCTTGTCACATATGGTCCGAGCAGGGAATGGAACCCAGGCTACAGTGGTGAGAGGCAAGCACTTTACGCACTAGCCACCCAGGCCACCCATTATGGTGAATGTTAGCCACTGCCTGCTTGTCATGGTTACTTACCTTGAAAAGTGATTGCTTCCATGTCCATCCCTATTATGCAAGCAAAATGGAAACAAAATTAATTTTACAAAATCTTACTCCAGTTGGATTTGTTTTTGTTTTATTGATATATAGACAGTCTCTCTGGCTGTCACTTTTGACTTAGATTTGCCAAAGTCTCATTTTGGCCAAAAAGTAATACCAATGAATGGGCTAAGCCCGGCCCATTGTGTAGGCTACATGCATGAGAAGACTTCCAGTGAATAACCATTCTGATACGACTAGATAGAATGTTGTGCACTCTGGGACCAGCCTTACTAGGCTTGCCGCGTTTTGTTTTAAGAGTAGAGTGGTTTGGATTCTTTGCTGTACGTTACAGTGCACTTTTTGAGGCCAGTCAGCAAGATATGGCAATACGCGCATGGAGGACATGGGAGGGTGCTCATTGTGTTATCAAGCACAGTCAAATAACACAGAATGTTCGGTTGGGCATGTCAATGCATTTCACATTCAGATGTTGAACGTCACTCTTTTTGTCTGTTCTCCTTTCTTTCACATCTTTAACAGACAGATTTAATGTTTTTTAATCACAAGTATGACAATCTAATATTCTTGTTGTGGACAAATAAATGAAATAAATAACTTACTGGACTATCATTTCCATGTCTCCATCACTATTTCAGAAAGAAAAAAGAAAGAAAAAAAGTAGTGTTAAAAAACACAAATGCCCTGCAACTGTGATTGTTCCCATGATATGACACCACCCTTTTAACATCAACTTACTTGGGTCGCATGGAACGTTCATTTACATCATCATTGTTTTCTTTAGGTTATACTGTACTGATGCCTACAACCTCAAAATATTTTTTTTGTGATTTAAAAGGGTGAGTGAACGTGAATAGATCCTGTACAAGAAATATTGGTATGAGTAAAAAGAGACAAGACCAGTGGGTGCACACAGTGCAAAGTGTTTGTAGGCAAAATGTGAGGTACGTGTACAGTCGACTCTTAGTACAAACACTGTTAATAAAAATCTGGTTACGGCAAACACAAAGCCTTGGTCCCGACTGTACATTTATGTGCACAATGAACGGGACTGATGTTCTTCTTAATACAAAATTCTGATATAACAAACAATTTGGCTAGGTCGGAACGAGTTTGAATTAACAAGAGTCAACTGTAAACTAAAATAATCACACACACGCACATGCACTCGTGAATTTCTATACTATTCCTTTGTCCCTGTAATACAACACTCTCCCATAGACTAAGCACATAACCGTACGATCGAGGATCGTTTTCAACAAAAGACCCAACGATCGAGGACTGAAAGGATCTTTTGTTCTCCCTTTGTGTGTCTATCCTCGATCGTAAAGCCATACAAGAGCACACACACATGTTCCGTAGTTGTGGGGACTACACACGAGTTGTCCATTGGTACTATGGGGACAGAAGACACTGTGGGGACAGCAGAAAGTCCCCGTAAACTCGGTCCTAATTTGCCTAACAATAAAAAACTTCCCCATAATGCAGTGACACACACAGATATGTTTATGGTGTAAATCGAGGATTTTCTATTGTTCCTCATTATCGATCTTTGTTTGTTCTCCAACTTCTTTGCAACAGCTCTCATTGGTTATGTACACGTTTTCTAGTCGAGGTCTTCCTCGATTTGACTCTTGTCCTCAATTATTCGATGATGCTTCACATGTGGGTCTTCGATGTACTTCAAAAACACGCACACCCACACAGTCTTACCTTCCATACCTAGTGTGGGCATTCCTTTGTATTCGTGAAGTTAAAAAAAACGGAGAGAAAACTCATTTTACTCACACTGTGAACACTCTTTCAACCCAATTCTTTTGTCATGATTTCCTTGAGTGTTCCCCTTCATTTTGCGAAAGATAAACCCCAAAATGCCTCCTGTTTTCCAGAGAGGGGGAAACCTAGTGTGGACGTGTGCAAGTCCACAAAACGTTCACGCTTCCTGCATCTTGTGGACCTCTTTTGTTCACAGGTCCACAAAGAGTATGTAAGGTTAGAGCACACACACGCACACACTAAATTCCATGACTTTTCCATGACTTTCACAGACCAAATTTGTGCTTTCCGTGACGAATTCCTATTTTAGGAGCCTAGTTAACAATATACCAGCCAGTCATCACATGGAAAATAAAGGTCTATGCAGTGTGTATCACCATCATCAAGATGGCCTCCACTTCCCGATACAAGCACCAAATCTTTTCATCTTAAACTTTAATACTTTTGGACTTGACATTTAAAAATTCCACACACTCTGACATATTGACTCTCACAGAACAAACCTAGTCATTCTTCTTCTGCAAGAAAATTGTAACATTTTTATTGCATGAGTCCATATACTTTTACTCCAGCTTTTCCCAGGGCTAAAGAGCCCACTGCACACTGTGCAATCATAGCTACTACTCACCCACTGGAATCATCACGGTCCATACGCCGATAGTGCTTGGCCAGCTTGACTCCAAAGATGGTTGCTGGCAGTAGGAAGAAGATGCACCAGCCCATGATCAGCCACAAAGCATTCTACAAACACCAAACAAACACACACACAAAAGCTTAGATATGCTTACATATTTAAACACTGCCTGATATACCGTACCTATGACCACATATATATACGGGACACACACATGCCTGGCAGCCAAACACCAAACGTGATAAAAAGTATGAAATCTATCTGTAAGCAAACTTGAAACTTCGATCCTGATTGGTTGATCCATGGCAACAACAGTGTGATATTATACCTAATACCACGGTCCATATCACACTCTGTGTTATTCTAAGATGTGCGGGCTATTCCTACTGCGCGCTTGTGTAATAGGATAACTGTTGAAAAGTTTGTGTACAGCGTGCTCCTTCCATCTTTACTGTGCGTCAAGTTTGCTTGAAGATAAATTTGTTATCCCACGAATGCGAGTGGAACATGGAATATAGTGCGTCTGTGTCCCATAGGCCACTGGGCCTTCAGCCTCCTGGCAAATGGGACACAGACGCACTGCATTACTCCCTTGTTCTACTCGCACTCTTGGGATAACTATTACAATATAGCTGACACAATGAATAGTTGCCGATCACTGAAAATCCATTCACAAAACTTCCTTGGGTATAATGGAGTGCTGACATGCCTCAAAAGCTTTGCAACAAACTTCACAGACTTTGTCGATCTTTGTAACTTACATGTAGCACTAGTGAACTGATTTGGGTTCCGTTTAACCATTAGGAACAATCAAACTGATTTTGATTTTAAACACCATCTCCATACCACCAGATCCAATTTCAGTACACTTGTCAGACTCGGAAAAGAACAACCCTCATGGTAAGTTATGCCAAAACTGACATTGTTACCAATGCTGCACCTAGTTTGGAGTTTGGAGAGCAGACATTTATATTCAACACTGTAAACAGAAATCTTGTTGCTGACAGCTAGGAATAATTAGTTGGGCACATGCAACTAAAATAAAAACAAGAAAAGATCTCATCTCACCACAGACTCCAGGATTCCTCTACAGAAGCTGTTGATGAGTGAGGTCCAGAGATTGTACACTGGGCGGCATTTCCCAATCTCATTCTCAAGCTGCAATACACAAATTGATTCATATCAGTACAAGAGATAATCAAATCAAAAGAATTTATTCTTGAAGATCTTATGCATTTCCTTGAATGTTTTTTTTTTCTGAGTTTTCTTTTATTTCTAATGGTTAATTTCTACAGCTGTTAGAATTAAACCATTTGAAAAAAAAACCCAGGAAAAACATTTAAGGAAATGCTTATTTTGGGTCTTTGTTTAATTAAAACAAGATTGATATGTCCACATAATATTGCATAGTTTTTTTTAATAACCTTTAGAATAAAAACAAATAAACTGAAACAAAACAAGAATAAAGTACCTGGTTGAAGGCATAGGTGACAAACTGGTCAGGGTAGCCCAAGATCCGATTTTCATAGTCTCCGACTTCCTGCAAATGAAAATCAAATACAAAGTTCCAAACAGATGTGTTATCCAAAACTCTAGATTTCTCTTCAACCAGGACTGCATTTCGCTTTTATCTTCTTAGAAATCAGACAATTGCAGGCAGACTTACATCCCAAATTGAAGAAAAGGGACATTTATCAAAGCTACAGACTCCATGCAATGAGAGTAGATGATGCCTCTTCACCACTCATGAGAGTTCCAGTGAGGGAGGCACACCGCAAGTGCACACTGGTTCAAATGCGCATTGCACAAACTATGCATTATTAATTATATTCTGAGTGTGCCGAAACCCAAAGTGTCTTTGAGTGATAAGCACTGGCACAATGCGTTCATGTTTCACTTTTTTCCATGTGAAATCTCATAGACTTCAATGGAGTCGGAGGAATTGGTTTCTTATTGCCATAGGAAAGGCATGAGTAACCCTTTCGTGCATTACAAACAATAGCCTCCGAGACACCTGCAATGCATAAGGTCCATTGTAAATGTATGTTATCACTTATAGCAGTATGGCATGCACACGTGCTGTAGGAATGACAGGTAAGACTGCAAGCTTTGTATTGTGCAGAGCTAAGCATGGTAATGGTGAGCATCAGGGCCTAAATTCATGCCGTTGCTTAACAGTTAGCAGAAAAGTTGTGCTTACTGTAGCAGAAAATTGTGCTAACCTTAAGCACTATTTCATGGTGTGGATGTGCTAACGGTTGCACGTGCACATAGGGATTTCTATTGTTAAGTCATTGATTTAAACCACTTTTTCCTCTGGGTTTAACATGTTTTTGCCGTGTTTACTGCTTACATTCTCCATGGAAAAGGCTCTGTTAGCAGAAAATTGTGTTCTTAGCAGCGCCGTGATATTTGGCTCAGGTAAGGCTGAACGTGCCCAAACCAAGCAAATACCACATATTATAGATGGACATTGAATTCAAAACCAATTCAGATTTATAACATAAATCAAAACTAACTCAACTCAATAAATTCATGTTTGCATTTGAGCAAATATGGTAAAATGATTGGTGAATGTCAACGTCCACCCGTAATTCACCCTATGTGATGTATTGTTATTTTTAGTGATAATTTTGTCATCAAGAGGTATGACACTGCTTGAAGACGCTCCATATTTTCCATCCAATCGTTAGTTGCTACCAGCATTTCCACCCAACAGCTCTAGGCATTTCAGTCTTCTTACCTGTGCTATGAGGGTTGGACCGCTAGAGTCCAGATGAGCCTGCGCTGAATCAGCAGCAGCAATGGTTGCATTCACAAGACTCTACGGAACAAAATACAGAGAGAGAAAGTGTAGGCACCACAAAACACAGGGATGTATAGCACATTGAGAGCTCTTACAGTCCTGAAATGCGCTATGGAAGAATCTGTTGTTATATGTAAAAAGACTGTGACATTTTCGTAGAAAATTTGACAATTACCAAACTATATATTTCCAGAAATATTATCCGCAATGTAAAAGAAACCAAAGCAGGATTAATATCTTTATTTTCTGGACAATATGTGATTTTCTGAGTTCCAGATGAGAGACTTTCCATGTATAATATGTGACCCTCCAGCACAAAACCAGTCGGCAGTTGCACGGTCGTAATTTGAGAAACAGCCTATAGAGTACCGAAGAGTGACGTCATTTTGAACCGGGAAGTGTAGTGCAAACGAATGGAGTACGCGCGGCTCAATTACGCACTAATGTCTTTTACACACATACTTGTGCGTGTGATGTATTCACTTCGGTTCTCTATCATAAATTGTACAGGCAAAATTAATAAAATTCAGATGTAGGTGTTTGAAGCTACAATATGAATATATTTCCTAAGGAGTCCATTTGGGAAATGTTAATGACAACTTTCTCAAGTTTTAAAAACTTTCCGAGGCCCAGAAACTGGGAACTGAAATAGCTATACCTCAGTCAGAGTCTACTCCCATACTCGACACGTCATTGGAAAGCTTATTCAATATCCTTTCCAAGGATATTGGCTTTACAAACATTGGTCCAAGCGACTGTTTTTGTGGTGGAGGGTCACATACATGTATGTTCAAAATTGTTGAGAATTATTTTATTAGAACTATGACGGAAATATACAACATACTTAATTAATTTAAGAATTCAAGAAATTCCAGGGCACAATCACAAATTCCAGAATTTTCAAAGGTATGTCAGAAAATTCCGGAATTTTCCAGGATATGTCTAAAATCTTCCTGAACTTCCAGGATGAGTATAAACATCCCCGGACTTTCCTGGATTCAATGCCCAAATTCCGGGCTTTCCCTGGACAACTGCAAACATTTTAAAGCTTTCATTTTTAAATGCAAGTCAAATTTTTTTCCAGACTTTCCAAGAACTCAAGACATGCCAGTATGTGCAAAAAAACCCAAACAAGTATTCTTGGCTCTGCACATACATGTAGTTCATAATAATGGGACTGAAACCCAAAGATCTACTCACATCTATGGTACTTGTCACACTCTCTAGATCTGTGATGTGTGTTGAAAGAGTGTCCTAGAAGACAATAAATCATCAATAATCAATTAACAAATCTCCACGATCCTGTTTGCCAAAACAGCAGAGATAAAAACATTCTCCGACAAATTTGGCAGGACATATTGCAGGGGCACACCTTAACAAATAAATGGCCTTAGAAATGTAGTGTGTAATTTGAAAAAGAAAGAAAGAAAGACGATGATTGTGCAAAGAAAAAAAATGGATAAATAGTCTCTTCGAAAGCAATATATGAAAGGGCTTCATAGAATGGACGTCTGATACAAGTCACAATTAAATATGGACTTTTATTCTTAGCGAAAGGTTTCATTGCTTGTGCTGGCTAAATTTGCGATGCCAGAAAAACTCTGTATAATGGCTACTGGATTACGAATAATACGTGCAAAGGTACCATTAAGGAGACACGTTATCGTAATTTCTCCGCACGATGGGAGACATCCGTCATTAGGGAGACATTTTCATGTCTCCCTAATGTCACAGCCCTCCTTTAGAGGCAAAATTTTGCCGTCATAATTGGATTATATTTGTTGCTCGGGGTCTAATTAGTAAACAGACCGAAATTTGTGGAAAAGGGACAAGGAAATATTGGGTTAGGGCACATTGAAATTTGAAAAATTTTGTGCACAAATCTATGGGAATGTCTCCCAAATGACCCATTTTCCGTAATAATAACAATAACAATAATAATTCTTCTGAATACTAATAAAGGGTGACACTTCCATAGACTTGTGCATAAATTTCAATGATCCCTAACCCCAATTTTATCTTATCCTGCCTCAATGAAACTCCATATTTGAGGGTTTCTCTTCTCAACTAAGCTGTTTAAGCTATTTGCGACAGTAAAATTCCTTCTCCAAATGGTAGTTAAAATAATAGGGCGACACCAAATTCTCACCCTAATGGTTTGCGCTGACCTCGCATAGAAAAGGTTAGCACAAAGTGTCGCCTTAACATAGAATGGAGGAGAATAATTATACAAACTTATGAAGCCTTGTGTCTAGAAAACCTACATGTATTCACTGCGCTGGGGTCTTAAGTATCTACTGACAAGATCAACCCCAACTCCCTAGGCCTTTTTGCTGGGATGTAGCCTCAATCCTGCAAAATCCTCCGTTAATTCTCGAATATGGTCCATGGAGGGATGACCACTGCCTGAATCCTGCAAAATCCTGCGGCAGTGATTGTCAATATGTTGAGGCTTGGCCAGTGACATCCTGGAGCAGTACGGAGGATTCAAGCATAATTGAGGCCTATATTTATGCATGGCTGAGCAAAAACAACACAAGGTCAGGCCTAAGACCTTGACAAAGTGCATCCTACAAAATCAGTAACGCACTTTTGCCATGTAACCTCAATCCTCAAAATTCCTCCACTTTGGTAAAGAGGATTTTGAAGGATTTGGGGCGGTTAGGGTTAAGGTTTGTTTTGAGACATGCCGTTGACAGAATCAACATCAGGTTGTGATCTGAGTGTTATTGGCAGACTGTTCCATAGGCAAGGGGCTGCAGCAGAAAAAACTCTGCCTTGCAGATGGAGCCACAAGCAAGTGGTGCTCAGGCTTGTATGGTGATGTGAGTTGCTGCACGTGTACGAGTAATGGGGTGATGTAATGCAGATAGACTGACAGTACTTGTTAACAGTTTAGAAAGGTTCGAAGAAACATTTTCAACAAGCGTTACCCTTTCGGTCAGGAGAGGTGCGATGTAGTTGGTTTGTATGTCACTCAGAGTGGTTGCTAAATTTTGAAAGGTAGTAACGTCACCCTGTAGGGAATAAAACACACGGATTAGCTTCTGACTTCCTAATAAAACACACAAACTGTCATACCAGAAAAAGGAGTTTTTTGTAACCATAAATGTTTTTTCTTGCCATGAAGCCCATCGATGTATGGTGTGGCAAGAGGATTGATTCGGATTCCATCCAGAAGTTACAATTCCATTCAGAATGTGAAAGCCTTCGGATATCACAAATAAACTGCAGTAGTGAATCACGAATGATGAATAATATAGAGGTAAAATCCCTCTGTATAATGTGATCACTTGCCAAAATTTATTTTACATTTAAGGGTCAGTAATCAAATTTCAGGGAACTGGAATCAGCTACTAAAAGGAGTCATACCCTAAAATAATATTGAGTCACTAATCTGATTCCGAGTTCCACATTGATATCATTCAAATCAAACATTGAGTCAGCTTAGCCTTTGAGCATATAGTTACATATAGACTGATCAAATAAGGCTTGGAAATATTCCTTTGAAAAAGTGTTAGCTATTTGATTGAAAAAATGCCAACTTACACCTGACAGCGTTGAAGCAAATGTATTGAGCAGGCCAGCAAGGACAGAGAGGTCATCGGCACTGTTGACATCGTTGGTCAGATCTTTAGCAAGCTGTTGGCCAACAGAAACAATCCACAGGCATTAATGACACATAAGTGAAAGTACTATAGGTCTCGTTCAAATAACGTCATTTCCTACAGACCATCCACTTGCATCAGCATTTTGAGCGTCAACTTGCATTACGCGCATCAGTTGCATTGTATTTCAAACACATTTTGAGCAACAATCGCGCGTGTTTGGAACATTTTCAACCCTACACAATGCATGCTAAATTGCGTAAAATACACAGTTGCACTTCTCCTACAGAAATGGCCGTGATTGAACGAGCCCTATTGTGGTAAAGAATCCTACTCAAGGACACAAGAATCAACATTTCATTGTGAAACTTACATGCTAAACCCACATTCTGAAAACTCTGCTGCAGAGATAATTACTCAAGCAGTATAACTAATTGGTTCACACTCTCATAAAAGCATGAGTATTGGTCAGTGGTTACCTCCTCTTTGAAGAGCGTCCAGTTGATGTTATCTGCCGGCGAATCACGGAAGTCGATCAAGATCTGCCTTGTGGAAGGAGTGAGAATGTCCACGTCAGTCAGATCACCGGTCACGTTGGTAAACTGGCTACCAATGTCGGGAATAAACTGTCACGATACACAAAAACATACATATAATTGTATGATACCCTAATTTAAGCACAAAAAAAATGACAAACTTAGGATATACATGTAGAAAGGATAGAACGGCCCTGATAAAGCATTTATAGAACATTCATACCTTCGTTTGCAACTGCAGTGCATCATTGCATAGGAGGCACTATCTGGAGCGTAAGTCGGCTATTACAATTTTTTCATGAATCTGAATTTTTTCATAAAACCTAGAAAACTTTACGGCGCTGGAAATGTTATCTGCAATTTAATAAAGCAACACATAGCAAGTAATGTACATGTAGTTGCAGGACTTTAAAGGTAGAGTGCATCATTTGCAGCTATCCAAAAAGTAACATGAAATTATTGTTGACAAGCATAGGCCTACTTGGCTTAAAGATAGTAATGGCAAAAACCTTCCTCTGAAATTATTCTTTTTGGCAAGCTCTCATTTTGAAGGAAACAATAAAAGAAGGCCATTTCCAAAGATGGGATGAGTGACGCATTTTTGTAAATTTCCATTTGTAGTTAATTTGTAATCCGTGAATGGATGCGTGCAAGCGTTAACACGACGCGCACGTGGTTGCTATTATTTATAGGTTCAGTGTGTGACATCGAATAGCTGCAATCGGCTGAATGAGAACGTGTCCCGGATGCTGATTTCGGCCGCAATTCAAAACATGACTCGGCAACTTTTGAATTGAAATCAAGATCCTAGAATATTGTTTTCTCCGAAAATACAGCATTCACTGAGCTAAATCTTCATCAGGTTAGTCAGCATCCGTCTTTAGATTTTTGCACCTTATTGCTTCAAATGAAAAAAAAAGGGATAAATGACAAATGATCTACCTTACCCTTAGTCAAGACAATGGTCAATGTTTCCACTACTTTTTTTGCGAGATAAAAATCTATCAGGAATTTCAGATGATAGAACTGCTTCAATGAGAAAAAAAAAATCACCAGTGAAACTGTTGCTAAAAATTATCCAAAACTGACTCGGCTCACTTTTTTTCAAAAAATGTATTGCTAGTGCATTTGAAAAAATCAAGTGATTTTACACTTTGATCATGTGATAGTACAATATGATCATATGACTGTCACTGTGATCATGTGACTGGCTGCACATTTTAATACAAAATTCACATGATGCCCACCTGTTGGAAGTCCAGTAGTGCAGAGATGTTCAAGTAGCTATCCAACTGAAAGGCTTCATACACAGCCTTGTTAGCTTCACAGTCACTAAAAGCAATGAAAACAAAATACAGAAATAAAATAATTTTGTTAAGCTTGCGCTTTCAGAATTCGTTTCCGCAATGAATGATAACAGGAAGATCATTTACTACATAAGCTACAGATCCATGACAATAAAAGGGTTCCAATATGTGCATTTTGAGTAACCTTGGAATTCCCATTACCAACTGAGTAAACCCCCCCCCCCACTCCCCCCACACTTCCCACCTCCCATTTATTACTTTTCCACTCTGGTAATAATTACTTCATCTCTAAGCTAAGGATGTGACATGTACACGTTTAAACGTTTAAACAAACAAAAAATCTTAATCCATTTACACATTTCCCAAAATGATTAAACGAAACCCGGATTATAACAAAGGGACCTACGTCCATGTGATCCTCCTTTGAGTTAAACATACATGTATGTAGCATAAATTATTACAATGTTTTAAACCTCTTTAATAAAAATTATTAATATTAATTATTATTATATTTGGGGTAAACATACTTAGGTTTTTATTTGTTTAATAACTGCCTGCTATTGATTATGTTAATCATTGTTGATTTATCTCGTCAACCATACCGGTCTGACGACATAATGGGCAGACATCAGCCTTTGTTAAACGGTTGAACTTTTAAACGTTATTTACAATATTTGCTAAACGTTTACAAAATTAAACGCAAAGTCACATCCTTACTCTAAGCATGCCAGACTTACTCAAGAATGCCAGTGAGGGTGAGTGATATGTTGCCGTTTTGAAAGAGAGTCTGTCCCAGGAAGTATCCAGGGCCAAGGGCATCCTTCTTGTCGATGGTCTGAAAGAAGACAAAAATGATGACATTAAAATTGAAAGGACACTCTCATTCTTCTGAAAACGATATCATAAAGTGGCTGATAAATCATTTTCCCTGTTCTACTTTTCACACAAATCTAAGCCAAGTGTCACATGCCAGTATATTTATAGTACATGGATGTCAGTCTTTGCATCGATTCAATTTTCTTTTAAAAGTGTCATGTGTGGAAGTTCAGAGATTTTGGGGCTTGGGATTTTTGAGTGGGTTGGTGTTCTTGTGCTTTCTGTCAGGAACAGTGATATTGACCGATCAAGGATCAACCCAAAACGTAAAATTGAAAATGGAACAAAACAATCCATTAATGAAATGTTAAACTGAATAATCTTCACTTACCCAACTTAAAACGTCATGACTTTGTCCATTCAGATTTTTCAAATTTTACAGGGCACATTTATCAAACTTGTTGAACTGGTTAAAAGGTTCAGTGCTCTCAAATCATAAACTCTCTACTTTCCATTTGGAACGCTCTGATTGGGAACATAATTTTCTAGTAAAGCAAAGATCATTTTGGGATTGTGCCAACCACCTTATCCAAGGGTAATTTGTTTTTTTAAGGGAAAGGTAGATGCTAAAAAGAATTGTGGGTATCTTACTGCAGTGATCAATGCACATACAAGCTGTACGCACATTGAACTTGCATGTGGTAGTGTAGACTCTACAAAATCTACATCAGCTCAATGTCTGAGCAGTGAGATTTAAAACTTCAATCTTATTACAGCAATTAGTTATGTAGTCAAATATTCAAGTACATTTCCACAAATAGTTTGTATCAAAAAAAGATTTTCATCTGTGAATATTGCCTGCCAATTTTCTTTTACCTCTGCAAACAGCTCCCCAGATACCAATGGATCACAGACGAGACGATCAACAGGTCCTCCAACAATGAACAGCAGCATGGTGAACAGCATGAAGAAAGTCAGGAAGATAAACGCAATGCCAACGGCTCTGCAAGGGAATGTTAAAGTGCAAGTACCATATCAGCCCAAACTCTCGTTGTATTTTTCTTGAGGCACCATGCACTAGCGTGAAGTCTGAATCCAACAGGATCTAACAAGGTGAAAAGCCTGTTGAATCCAACATATTCCATCAACAGCAACATTTGATGCCTACTGACTTCAATAGCTTCCAACATAAAAAGACAAAATCGGTAATTTTCTTGTGTTATTAAAACGGGATGCCTCAGTGGCAGATTACTTGTGACAATATCCCCTCCCCCTTCCCCCCCCCCCAAAAGATGGAAATACATGTATATCAGGTAACATCATTACAATGCCATGCCAAAAGAACAAGAAAAAAAACAGTATATGTTTGGCAAAAAAGTAACGCTACCGCAAGTTTTCGCTCTTCAAATCTGCAACATTCTAACACAGCCCATTTCACACAGTCTGGTTTTACTATTATTATCAGGACCCTTATTGCTCCCTTCATTTGTTCCGATTGTGTGGATATTTTTCAACATGTCCCACAAGGTTTTGCATGAAAACCTTCCGAGGACTTGGCTTTAGTCCTCAGGGCTACTGTTATCGCAAGTTACCCATTGTTCCAAGTCCTCAGGGGTAAAGGATAACCAGGTGCAGTGCACATGTATGTTCCTGTGAGTATGGACCACCTGAATCCCAACAATCTTAAACCCGCGCCTCACTAAAAAACAAACAAAAATAAATAAATAATTTAAAAGTCGCACTCCAAGTTCACTTAATTGTACGCACGCCATCATGAAGACGCCACCACAATGGGAGCAGTTCCCTCGATGGGCTGGAGAAACATCACTGTTGTATCCAGCAACTCCCAGAATGAGACCAAAGAGGAACAAGACTGCAATGACTAGCAGGACACTGTAGAATCCAATCAAGGCATAACTCCTGAAACAAACATACAAAAACCCACAATGACCATGCATTTTTATCAGACTAGTTCTGTGCATATTCTCATTGTTAAAGACCAAGACAAAACGACGAATGGAAACTGATATGTATTCTGCATTTCATTTTTTGGACCAATATGAATCATTCATTAATGGAAACACACAAACAATTCAATTTTATACATACGGCATGTACGGTGGAATTTGCGTCCGGGTGATGAAAGTTCAATATTGGGTTTTGCCCTTCACTGACGTATTTTTATAACCACTGTATACTCAGTGTTGTCCTGAGTGACTGTGAGAAAATAAATACTTAGGTGAGACTCAAACCCACGAACTCCTGCTTACAAGAGTGATTTTTTTTCTCACAATAGTTGTACACTGAGTATTCAGTGGTTATAAAAACAGGCTGGTGAAGGCAAAGCCCAATATTGAATTAATTTTATAAACTGGTAATATCAGAAATGAATCTGTGATATTTTGCTTTGACTTTTCCAATACTTTGCACAATTTGCTGCTGCTGTCTCTTTACAAATTTTGGTTTCAATGACCCAAGAAACACTGTACTCCTCCAAGAAATGGTCAGAAATGTGTCAAAGGAATAATACTCTTACTTCCAGGAAAATGTACACAATGAATATTCATTTTATGATGATGATATGGAAGATTTCAGAGAATGACTGGGTAAAACATTCCCTATTTCTAAAAACTAAAATCATTGACGCAAAAGACTTTAAGGTATACTTTTTAATTTTACAGCATATGCTGCACAGCAATGTAGCAAAGTTTTATGCTCTGCAGATCCCAATTTGTAGCACGAAATGTCCCACAATTAATACAAAACCTTCACTGCACACTTCCGATCTGTCTGTAAAACTGCTTACGCTGGAATTTGACAACAAATACTGATGAGGATTGATTCTAAGGGGTTCTGACCACTGTCACATGACAGTGCACCTGACTTACCTGTACGGATCGTAATCCTGGATGAATGGTGTGAAGCTGTTGATTGTATCCCTATACCCATCAACCTGACCGACAATCTAACAATAATAATAATAATAATGTGTATTTATAAAGTGCCCATATCCACCAGTGTTGGTGTTTAAGGTGCTACATCATTATTACCCTGCTCATTGGGCCAAAGAAACATTCCAAATACCATCTCAGCTCCCTGGGGAGTATAAAGCTCAATGCTGCCATTTTGCCGCAAAGCAGCTAGAAAACGGAGTCAGCAGGATACTCCATGAATAACACATTTTTTAAATTCCTACTTTTTCCTGCTTTTATTCCTTTTCAATAGCTTTTCAAATAATACAGAATACGATTGCCTGAATTTTTATTCATATTTTTTTTCATTTCTTAATTTTTGTTGTTGAGAGAGTTCCAGACAAGGTCAGTGGTAATAAAACAGTTTTTTGGGGAGGGGGTCGAGAGCCCACAATAGGGTCTGTTGGAAATGAGAACCAAAGAAATAAAACAGGATGCCCTGAGGAATAAGTGGGGAAAAAAACAGTGGCTTATACATACCCCTGCCAGTTGACTGGTGGCTGCTGAAAGAAGATCAAAGATGCTCCCACTCAAACCATTGATGGTGCTCACGATAGCTGAAAATCAAAATATAAACCATACATTGTATATGCATTGTAGCATTCATTACCAAACAGAGTCTAATTCAATCTTAGGGTGCCCTGTTATGAAAAGTAAAGGACCATCATTAAATTTTGCTGTGAATTCTAATTCCAAGTCCTATTTAACACTTTACCACTGTAAATTGAAACAAAGTTTCTTTACGATCTCAGTGAAAAGGACGGTGGACCAGGCTATAAGGTGTCAAGATTATACTTTTTTGGGGTGAAAACTAGGCCCTCTTGGTCGAATGTAATAATAATGAGCACAGTATTTCTAAGTTATCGTGTTGACAAGAGTTAACCTAACCAAAACATAACAGACAGACACAGAGAAGGAATACGCTATCGCAATATATCCCCCTCTGGCTTATAGCCAGGGGGATAACAATACGGCAAGTTAAGCTTACACGATCCCCCTGGTATGGTGGCAGTATATATACAGCAAGTTAGTAAGCACTCTTTCCAGTGTACCTAACCAAAATAAACAATGACCTCATTTGACCCCTAGATGACCTTTGACCTCATGTCTCAAGTCTTCTAAAGTCCCCCTAACCAAAGATTATTGTGAGTAAGTTTGGTTAAGAGTGATCCCCTGGTATGGTGGCAGTATATATACATTAAGTTAGTAAGCACTCTTTCCAGTGTACCTAACCAAAATAAACAATGACCTCATTTGACTCCTAGATGACCTTTGACCTCATGTCTCAAGTCATCTGAAGTCCCCCTAACCAAAGATTATTGTGACTAAGTTTGGTTAAGAGTGAAGTCCGACTTTACATATGACAACACATTTTACTTTACCTAACCAAAATCAACAATGACCCCATTTGACCCCAAGATGGCCTTTGACCTTAAAGGACTCAAAATCATCTTAAGACCCCCTACCCAAAGATTATTGTCACCATGTTTGGTTGAGATTAGAAATCTGACTATTCATATGTCTGCACTACAGTTTATATGTAACCTAACCAGAGCGTAACACACATGGACAGACACACCCTGTACTGTGACACACGGACGGACATACAGGCACACAGAAGGAATACACCATGGCAATATCCCCCTTTCTGGCTTGAAAGCCAGGGGGATAAAAAGACACTGAAATACACTGGAAGGTACTATAATGCAGGGCTAGATAGCCCCATTGATAGACCAATGTTGCAGCATTCCACAAGTTCTTTAATCAATCTTTTGTGTCACCTAACTAGGACTAAAAACTGGAATTTACCATCAATTTGAGATTGAGTAGTGTTCTTCAGTGTCTCTGGCAGATTATTGAAGTTGGATGCACCCTAACAGAAAAAGAAAAATCAGATGATAAAGAAAAGGAAAAAATCAGACATGTCAGAGTTTCAATCAAATCATGTATAACATATTCCTGGGTGCATGCTAATTGTCCAGACTTGCATTTAGATCTCTTACAAACATGTATACACTACCCAAACAAGATGCCTAAAAATGTCAAACAAAGGGCGGATTGGCCCGAAAACCCTCAGTACTGAAACCGCTGTTTCCTTTTTTTTTCCTGAACAAAAACACTGACATTAGAAAACCACAAGGCTGGATAGCTCAGTGGGGAGCGCACCAGTACATTGTACCACAGGTAACGGGTTCAATCCTCCCTCTAGTCAATTTCTTTCTATTGATTACTCCATGGAATTAGAACTTCTAAGGACCATCTTTCATTTGGGCGAGAATTACCTCATCTGCAGCTGAGGATAGATCAGCGTTGTTGACATCAGCCATAGAAACAATTGCGCTGTCCACTACAGTTTGGGGAAATGAACCATGGCCCTGTAAACAAACAAACAAACAAGTGTTGGGGTGTGTATACAATTTTGAGCTAAACACAATATCACAGAAAACAGTATTGAGGTTTCTGATACCCAAGGTACAGTGTCCTTGTTAATTTTACACCTTTTAATGTTCTGAAATAAAAAAAACAGTTGAATATGTTGACTTGGAAGGGCTCAAATGTTAGCTTTAAGACTGACAGGATTCTAACAAGCCATATGTAAGCACTCCTCGACGGTGACTGGCAAAATTGAGGATGCCCAAAAGGATGAAAAAATTGTGAACTACTATGGAAAACTATGTTTGACATGGAGATTAATAATCATTTAAATTCTCCTACCATTACCGAAAAGTTTTGCTAAACTTAAATTTGTCTAAAGCCACCATTTTTGGTTCCTCCAACAATCAATCAATCAATCAATCAATCCATTTTGCATGCTCGAGAAGAGCGTAGCGTCTTGACAGCCCAGTTTCCAGTCCAGCCGGTTCTGGGCAAGTCTCCAACCGGCTGACAGATTCAGCCTCAGCTAGTGCCCTGAAGTCTTATAGTTGTCCGTCCAACGCAAACGCGGGCGACCCTTTGGACGGGGCCAGTTGGGAGCAGGCTCCTTCAGCAGAAGAGCAGGCTCCATCGGTGGGTCATTTGTGAGATGTAAGACGGCTTCCTCCAACACTGAATGGAAATTCTGGTGATTCTGCTTTCGGAGAATTCCCAATTTTCCCAGTCTGCATGGTGGAAGCTAGTGACTACATTAAAATGTTTGGTGAGACATCTAGTATTTGTTTCCCGGGAACTTACCATGCCCAAGTTGATATCCCGCCAATCCGCGTTCATGTTCAGTCCAGTGAAATCAGGAGCTGATGGTGCTGAGCAGCAACTACCGGTACAGCTTGCACAAGCACTGGTAAGGTCAGTGAAGGCCTGATCTACGCGAGTCTTGACTTCCAACCACATGTCCTCCACGCTTGCCTGTGTAGTGTTGATGTTGACTAGGCCATTGTAGGTACTGCTGATGGCTGTTACAAGGCAGGAACAAGGCAAAAACTTTAAACAATTGGTCATGCATGGTGTTGTACTTCAAGAGTGTTTTAAATTAACTTTGTTGTAGACATAATATGTATACACAGTGGACCTGTGAAATGGGACCAATGTCATGGCTTTCTCCCAACATTGGAATTCTGCTGTTACAGAGTTAGGGCAGAAATTGTGTGCTAACCAGGTAGGCACACTACCCTTAGTTATGTGATGCGTGAATGCGCACAAGCGATAACTCCATTATTATAACCTACACTGTATGAGATACATGTATTAGACTATCGGGCATGGAATTGAATTCCATAGAAGACCCGCATATCGGATTCATCAATGGTAAAGCAATTGAAGAATTCCTCACATATGAAAGAAGTCTTCGCTTGGTATTAAAAGAAGTGGCATGAAATGGGTCCTGATGCTACTGAAAACTGACTCCACTAAAAACCAAGGCTGAAGTCAACGTGTTAGCTTTGAAGTAGAGCTATAAATTAGCACTGATAGACCAATTTGTTAATTTGTTGGATTAAATGTCCAATTTGCCCATGTACGCATACCATTAGAGCAAGATTTTTTTTCCACAAACTGTTATCTATGTACATGTACATGTATATTAAAACTACAAGTACAATGTAGAAATTACAATTGTTGATAGATTGTAAGCCAAGATTGTATGTATCCATCGGTGCTTATAAGGCCAAATAAAAAAAAAAGGACATGTTTAGCGTCCCCGCCCAATTCCTTTTTGGAGGCCGCCTCCTTTTTTTTTCTTTGTCTGTTGCATCTAGCCCATATAAAGCTGGTATGCCATTTCTGAGTCCAAGTGGCGGCCATCTTGAAAAATAGCCCGGTCGGGCGGCCATTTTGGAAGGAAAAAAAAAGAAGAAAAAAAAGGCCGCCTCCTTCCTTTTTTCCCCCCAAAAGCAGGACACTAAACATGTTTATTTTTACTTGGCCTAAGTCCATCACAAATAAAATGTTAATTACTTGTAATATCAACATCTGTCCAGGCGTACCCACAACCAAATGTTGCCTATTTCTGAATAAAATGCGATGGCCATAAAGCATCACCCTTCAGGCAAAAGTGCATTGTATGTGGTCATGTCAGCACATAATGCTAATAAGAGAGCTCTGAGAGTAGAACTATTCATAGCACACAATGCAACTCTCCAATACGCGTATGTGGAAATTGAATTTGCTCAGTGCCAGGCATACATGGATGTGTGAGCACTCTGCATATCAATCCAATGAAGAAAGACCTAAAGCTATGCTAGCTGCTGACAGAAAGACTCAGAAAAACAGCACTCTTGTAATTTCATACAGCTCTAAAGGGAATGTAAAAAAATAAAAAATGCAATCCAACATTGACTGAGGCGGTTCTTTTCTTGCTTCTAATCTGAAGGCCCAATTCATGCTCGGCAGGAAAGTCAATGTGAATACCAACTTGGAACATCATGGGAAGCACTCAATATGTTTGTGTGCTTTACCATGTTTACATATGAACATATTTTAACTACTGCAAAAATATGCGGCTGTGAATGTTTCATGACATTGAATTCCTTTTGCATTCAAATTCCCGTGAATACACGAACTTGCATAATTATCCACAGCTACCAGTAAATTGCCAAACAAGTGAGGTGTTCTGGCAAAAAGAGATGGTATTGGGCACAGGCCGCAGTGGAGAAGAATGCAAAAAAACGAATGAATGTTATTTTTTTTTATTTTGTCGTATTTGTTATCTTTGATTCGTTTACCACACAAATGTTAAAAATCTAGTATTAAAAGGTGTAGAATAAAATTGTTTTTAAGTTGTTTTTAAAAACAATTGCGATCTTTTATTTTCAATACAAAACTCGAAACTTTGGCTGTTTCTCAGTATTATACTTTTTTGACATGTTGATGTTGACAAATAAAAACTTGTTTTAACAGCCATAACTTGTCAACAGACTTTTCTATCAAAGTCATTGCAATTTGCAAACAGTATTGTAAGAATATTATTCTCATTTCGACCTCTGCCCACTTCTGTCTCATTTTGCCAGAATTCTTCATATTTCTCCTTCTTGATCTATTACATTCGAGCAGATTCGCTGATCAATTATGCAAGACAACAGCATCTTGACCTCTAGATTTTGACCAATCAGCGGGCGCTTTCTGTATCGGGTCTTCGGTCTTTCACCCGTTGCGCGTCATAGACATGGATAACTAAAAAAACCTGTGTCCGCGCTCTGTATCATATTACGCAATATGCACCCAGCTGATGTAATACAAAACACTGCATTCGAATTGACCAATCAAACCATTAGTCCTGATTTGGGAATGAAAGATGTCACGATTTAGTAAAGTCGACCTCGATTGGCTGGCGTGCGGCTTGCATGTATCTGCATGTTTAAACATATCAGATGTTACAGAACACTTGGCTCCGTGCATAACGGGTGATACTCAGACTACTTCCTCCCAAGGAGGAAAACATTTTAAAAAGGCATCTTTCTTCAATATTCAACTCTTGCAAAAGACCATATTTTTGATAGAACTGAACAAGTGAAAGTTAACTCACAGTTATCAAGTGGATAGATTGCATCGATGGCTGGCTGTACGATGCTTGATAACTCCTGCTTGACTGGCACTCCAACAAGCTGATCAATAGCTAGACAAGGAAACAAGTATAGAATCATTACAAAACTAAAATAAAAACTGATACAGGGCTTCACAAACATTGGAATTGCAGATCACTACTTTGACAAAATCACCAAAAAAAAAAAAAAAAAACAGTTCCAGATAATATTGACACTTTACATGTATCATACAATGGGTAACATTGGAGGGAGATAAAAAACAACAACATGAATAGCAAATTTACATGTACGTAATGGCAAAAGCAGATTCAAGCGCATGTAGAAAATTGTGTTAACTTTTAACTTTTCTGTGCGTAGCTACTTTCATGAGCTCAGCAGATCTGACAGTTCAGCACTAAATACTACAAGGTTTTATAGGACAATCATGAAACTCCCTGTTTTTCATGAAAATTGAAATGAAAATTAAAAAGTTTGAATAACCAGGGCTTCATGTGAAAAACACTACAAAAATATCACATGACCCGCAGTAGCGGGCGCAATCTAATTTACTATTGAAAATATTCAACACAAGATCCAGAAACATTCCAATGGTTGCGTAATCAAATGAGAGCAAAAAAATCTTATCAGTGGTGATTACAAACCCAAAGACTGAGTTTTTAGATTTGATGATGTGACTATGTAAAAGAGTGAGGCCTATGATTAGGGTTGGTTACAAATGTACTCTTGATCAGAGAATCAGGTGTTCAATCCAGATGCTTTCCATGTATTGTGTCCTTGGGCAAGCCACCTCACACCCACTGGCCTCTCTCTACCCATGAATATAAAAGTGTTCCAGTATTAATAGCTGGGGACCACCTGACCATGGACAGCCATGCCATCCAGGGGGATAGAAACATTCTCAGTCACTCAGTGCCAAGAGAATCCAGAAATACACGTAACCACCTGGCTAATTAAGACAGACTCGGGTAAGTCTGACAAAATCGTTTTGCAAATTGATTGACTTAATTCAACAATTGCAATACCCCTACATTCAACAATTACAATATCTAAAAGGTCAATATTGGTACAGAACAGATGCAACATAATAGAGGTAATAATGACTAGACAGCACATTATTGATTGAATCATCACTTTAATAACGACAGGTGTTTCCAATATGTACACTAGTCAGCAAGGCTGTGGTGTAGCCATATGTTTCTCTGACGTAGGGACAACACCTCTACGTACCAGTCAGGTCCTGCGTCACTTGAGTCAGGGTGTAGTTCAGCTGGTCCACAACTGTGAAGTTAATCTCCTGTCGGGTCAAAACAAAACATAAACACAAATATAATGTTAAGTGGGAAGATTTTAATTGAGCTGAGGTAGTAATATAATGGAAAGACAACGCCTTTCCGGGAAGTATTGATACACTGTGTATTTATTTATAAAACTCATAAACAGTTCCGAGCATACAAATTGCTCACAATAGACTTTGTTTGGGTTAGGTTGGTTTGTTTGTTTACGTCTCTGGTACTGATGGCACTAGTATTTTTGTTGGTTAGTAAACAGTTCAAATACCAAGTGCTGGTAAAGATTGCCCCACCAAAGTCTTGATTGTGTAGATCACGGATCCTCTACACAAGGATAAACGACTCGTCTGAGCTTGTGTACAAAATGCGGTCGTGCGCCATGTCTCGCGCACACACGACGCGCAAGTGCCTAACACACCTCTAACCAGAAATTTGGGGAAGTCGTTTATCCTTGTGTAGAGGATCAATGAGTACATTTGTAGATCCACTCAGATTTTGGATGACCTGTTCCCTGCTACGGTACCCTGCATAACAACTTTCTTCTGGCCAAGTGACCAAAGTAGGAGAGTCTGAGAGTTTATTAGCCCAAGCCAACTTTTCTTGGCCCTAATTTTTCCACAGCCAAATCTTTTCATATCCCAGCCTCTCATGTAACCCATAAAATTTGGGGGTGAAAACAAATTGATTGATGAACAAGATGAAGAGCTATCATAAATGTGTGCCGCATGCAATGACATCACTAATAGTCATCACTTTATACTTCGCTGAAATTTGAATCTATAGCAAGTGGAATCTGTCAGTTTGCACCAAGAACCAACCTAACTCACTTTGCTATTAGATCTGGCTGGCTGACCCAACTGAGCTCAGTTGTCTGCACTACTTCATAGGAGATTGTGGGTTCCAGTCTCACCCAAGCAAGCTGGTTATTTTTTTTTCATGCAAGCTGTCAATCAGCACTGATTTAACAGTGCTTATAATAACTACATGTACATTGTACACTGGTGAAGGGATATACTGGTACCTCGTATGAACAATGTTTCCCGTAGCCCATTTCTTTTGTTCTACATGTATATAAATATTTATAGGTAGAAACACCTTTTTGGTGAAAACTCCGGAATTCCACATTTCAAAAGGGATTCCTTATAAATCCTAATATTGGGGAAAAATCCTGACCAAAAAATATCCTGGTATCGGAAAAAATCCTAACAAATCTTTACATGTATATGCTCAGCAGAGCAGCTCACACTGCTAACCTTTTTTTGCTTATTAAATAAAATATTTGCTTGATTTTTTCCCCTGCTCAGCAGCTCCGCAAAAGTGGGCCTGGGTCTACTCACCTGTAAGGTGTAAGTGACAAAGGACACCATATCATCGATGTTATCGACCACATCCTGGGGAAGAGATTCAACCTTCTGGCTGGTGAAAGTGTTGACGCAGAATGCAGTAGCCACTCCTCCTCTGAATCAATCACATTGAAAAAAGCATTGACTACTCGGCTTGTGTTTAATTAATGCTCGGCGTCTGATTATGAGAAGCACATTTTTTTGCCAGTCAATACTGTGAAATTAAATTACAGTGTTGTAGTCATGGTAGTTGAGTCCTAATACTGAGCCTGATACGTATGTTGAAATACAGGTAAAATGTGGAAATAACATGAAACCGGTAGATTGTGTAGTGTCTGTATATACCTGGGTATACTTTTTTGGGCCCCTTTTTTCCCTCCTTCTTTGGAACTTCGTTTTCAAGTTAAATTAAGACGTAAAATTATGTTAGACTATTGATTTTTGGAGTTTATTTTTTAATTTCACATCTTTCTCTTATTTCCCTTCCTCCATTCCAGATCTATCTTTCCCTGCCAACTGTTTTTTCCTTCTTCTTGCTTTTTTTCCTACCCTTATTTCCATTCCACTTCTGATTCCCAAAAACTTTGACTTCTTGATTCTTGTTTCCATTTGCATTGTCTTGTTCTTTTTTAATTTTCAAGTAATAATGATAATGCTACTGCTTTTTTGAAATTTCATGTATGTATTGGCTTTGGATTAATTTCTTTGTTTCTACTTTGTAAATTTGCATGGTTCAGCCATTTGGCTGCTCTGAATTCAAAAGAAATAAACCAAAATAACAATAAAAAGTATCCTGTAAATGTACAAGTATTTGCACAAGGACATTTATTTTACATGTGTGTCAGCTGTGCATTCAACCAGTTAAATCCTACCGTTACTTAAAAGTACTCAGTCCGCAAAAGTCTTCATTTTTTCAACCGGCAATTTGGACCAAAAATATAAAAGTGTCCTGCACGTGTTTCACATGAAAATGAAGCGCATACTATCATCTATCTACTGAACCTTGCCATTTCTTTGGCCTTTTTTAAGAATCAAATGTACACCTAAAACTATACGCCTTTGCTTTTGGTACTATACAAATTATTTTGTTTGACACGCCGTAACAACACTTTATTGTTGTCTAAAGCAGCTATGTTTGGTATCAAAATAAAGCACAGAAATTCAACTTTTCCCTTACCTAGCCATCTTGGCCAAACAGTGCATGTATCTAGGTACTTTTCGTGTTTTTCTGTAGTTTCTAATACAGTCTCGTAAAATCTCGCGTAGGTTTTGGGCCATGCGTGCGTGACCTCGGGACAAAAAACTGAGGTCAAACAGGGCTCTGTGCGTGACACGTCCACTGACTGGGATGCTGAGGCTTGATTCGCACTTTATCACCCACCGGTATGTACATTCCAGTATCAGGAACTCTGACACGACCCAACTATAACACTTAAAATAATACAGACACTCGGAATCGGTAGCTTATGGCAGAAAACTTACTAAAGAGGAAACCCACAATTTCCATGGAATTGAACCCCCATGACTTACACAATGAAGCCCATGCACAGTGCCAGTAAGAAGCCAAAGACAACTCGCTTGATCCGGTCGTAGTTGCCTTCCTTCTGGTACATCTTGCCTCCGCAGTTGCCACAGCAACGGCAGCAGCAGAAACACAGGGCAACGATGGGGAAAATGACCACAAACAGTGCACCGATGATGAAGCAAATCGCAAAGCCCATTAGGTTGCCAGTCAACTGTAAGTAACGAAAGGTACATGTTATAATTGCCACTTCTGTTTCGTGATTATAATCTTCCTGATGCAAAATTTCATCATATAAATAATACAAGTGAACTTGTGATATTCTCAGCAGTAGATTTTTAGCAAACATTGATACAGTTAAACCTCTAGTGTGATATTCTCAGCAGTAGATTTTTAGCAAACATTGATACAGTTGAACCTCTAGTGAACCTCCCCCCCCCCCTCCAGCAACCAACATTTTCAATCTTAATTGTAAGTTTTCCTCAAAGGGGTAAGGGGGCATTTTAAATGTTTTTAAGCAATCTCAGAAAACAATGAATTTTTAGCTTTATTTCTCGATGTGATTAGATTGATGTATGTTCATAATAGAGGATCAAACTTTAGGTACCGGTAGTTCAAAAGAGAACCCTGCCATTGCAGCCATGTTTGTCATGTTTGTTGTTCCCAAGGGAAAATATTATTTTTTAGATACCGGTATTGTCCAAAAATGCACATAAATTTAAAATGTCTACTTTGTAAACCCTGACACTTTCAAAAATGATCTGTGATAGACAATAATGACTGAGGAATAGCCATATGGTTCACTGTCATGTGTGACTACATACATGTAGATACAGATGTATACATTTGTGTATACATTCATGTATGTATACATGTACATGTGGCTTCTGGTTATTTTTGTTCATTAAAATTGCAATGACCGCACAGCTGTAATTCTGTGTGTCAGAACTGATGTGGATTTCCTATACTTTTATTCTTATTTCTTATGTTTAGCGAATAGAACTTCTCCGTACTGTGTTAAATGTTTCCTAAGCGAGACTGGCGAAGTCTATTTTGTTTGTAAATAAAGATTTATCAATGTAAACACCTGTATACATATGTTGTATTTGTTCTTCTTCCTAATGTTGATTTAGCCATGGTATGATCCAGTGTGTCAGTGCGAGTGCAGAAAGTGAAAGCGAGTGATTCTTATGCAAATAGCGCTTTTCACCCGCTGGCTTTGGAATGCTGCAGATATTGCGCGAATGCCAGAGGACTTTGCGATTGCAATATAGCCAGTCACGGTCACTCCAAAATCATTGAGTTTGGATCCAGAAATTTCCACTTTTGAGGTGGCAGATCTGCTCGATCTACCGTGAGTAGTTTTATTGGTTAACATAGATACCAGATTCTTGATTTTAGCTAATTTTGTTCATATTTTGTTGAGAAAATTGACGTTTGATTTATGATCTAATGAGACATAGTTTCAGTTAGCACTGATGTGTGTACATGTAGTTATTTTTATGACGTTGTATGACTTTCTAAGTTTTCATTAGAATTTTGGATCACTTATTGGTCGATTTAATTATAGATTATGTCATTGGATCATGGTTTGAGAATCGATAACCTTATTTGAAGTTTAACTGGAATTTTGAGAAAGATGACTTCTTAGATTATGTCTGCGCAGATGACGGGTATTTTTATGATTTGGTGGCCAAATATGGAATATGCTGTTTAGTTGAAGTGACTATTATTGCAGAATATAGACGTTTTAGGTTTTGAAATTATAAATTTCAGATGGCTCAGGGTCAGTGCGCCAGAGCAAGGCGTTATCTGGCATAGCCTGATGGGCCCGTATTGAAGCTCCCGATCAAGAAGAACCCTACCCCGGCCAAGCAACACGGCGAGCCGAAGCACAGACGGCGCCTGCTTGAAGCAACTGAGACAGAAAGCTGCCCAGTCTCTGGAGGGTTCAAGGCCTTCAAGTCCAAGGGACAACCGGGAACCGACCGGAGGAGCCGACAACGCGTGATTCGCGAATATATTGGTGGCCCACCATACTTTGTTAAGTATTGATTGAAGATTTGATTTGAAGTATTATTTGGAGATTTGATTTGGAAAGTTGATTTGAAGATTGGATTTGAGGAATTAGGCCTAAGTTGAAGAGTTGAAGACAGGTGAATTGTAACATAATTTGTTTGATATTTCTTGGTGTTTTGTTTTGGATTTAATTTTGTTCCTTGTTATTCCGTTTACTTGATTAATACCCAGTTAAGCGTTTATTTGTTTACTTTTCATTTAACATTTTGATTGATTTAATTCCTTGTTTATTTGGTTTAATTGTTTAATTTGATTAAATTCTTTTCGAATTCTATTACTAAGTTTTACAGAGTTTTCTTCATAGTATTTTTGCTTGTTAGGGTGACAAACGGCCTGAAAATTTAAGTTTCGCCGCAACCTTTATTTGCGCGCGTTACACTGTGCATGTACCAGTTCATCATGTACATGTACATTGTACACGTGTACATGTGCTTTGTAAATGAGGAAATGTCCTTATAAATAGAAAATAAATATAAGCAGTGGCTTCCTGTCTCTTACAACATGTAAACAAACTGTACACTTGTATACAATTTAATCTACATTTTTATCAATACAAAATAGTACACTGGACAAAATAACATGTGGGTCAATCCATGAGGGAGAAAATAAATCAAAAATCACTTTGTTTAAAGTTCCTCTACCAGTGCTATTCAACATATTCAATATTTTCACTCAAAGGAGTTTGAATTTGTATGTTTTGCTTTTAGTTTTACAAAAAAATATGGGACGTTTTCAACCTCTGAAAATATGGTTTCGCTTTTTTTGGAGCTACTTTTACGCCAATAATTGGCTACTAAAAAATAAATAACTTTTTTATTGCCAGAAAAAGACCATTTAAAAAAATCTACTTTTGAGTCCAACTAAAAAATAACACGGGGAGCAGGACAACTCTATCCTGATCTGCAAATCTATAGTGTCTCATAACCTATATGTTGGCAGGCTCTCAAACATGCAAGGGAACACATTCATGTAGCTACATGTACATGTACTGGTACATGTTTTCATATGTTGTAGATCTTTGTTAGAGAACTTAACTTGTATTAAACTTGTACTGCATGGGCCTGCATGATGTTGCCTGATCCCTACTCATTCTGTATCTCTCAATAGACCTTTGAAATTATTCATTTCCATGAAGACTAGAAATTTATGGGATTAACTGCTGCACTATCCAAGGCCAAAGAAAATCTGAGAACCAAGACTTCCACCTAGACAATTCCATGACTCAAATTTGGCTCATATGTTACCAGACTGTCTAGTGGACGATTTAAGCTCCCCCATGGCTTAATCTGATTGAAATACCCAGAGAAAATATTCTGTCTTCATTCTAAATGCTTTAAATGTACACGTATGTACATTCCCAGCAGAAATTTAATGCCTTGGGAGGGCAAGTGACAAACAAGCCCATGAAATTAAGTGTGTGGATTCCCCCAAGATAGGATTTTTAATTCAATGAAGACATCCGCCCTGACTTGCCTGACCGAGAACAAATTATTGGTTTGGATGGAAGGGGTCTCTGACTCCAATCCTTGAGCCAGTGAGACAAAATACATTTAAACCAGTTGAGGATGATGAAAGATGTGATAATTTAATATGAAGCAGCAGTATTCAGGTTATCACAGCATAAGGTTTTCTTTTTTTAGACGCCTTCCCCGTAGCGATTTTCAGTTGCTATGTTCAGCAGGTATTCTAACATGTCTAAACATGTTCACTGAATTGAGACATATTAGACAATGATCCATTATACTCTTTGAGTTCTGAATTAATTAAATGTGAAATAAAAACAATGCAGTTTAAGCCAATATATTGGCTTGCCATTTCAAGTGGGTGCCATTTTGAACAGACCAAACCCAGTGAGGTAGGCTAATTAATGTTCAGTTACTTATGTAAGTTAGGAGGCAGTTAAAAATATTACAAAAATTATATTTGTTTATATTGTGTATTATTTGGGGGTGCAATAAATATCAGGGGAAACTGAAAAAAAATGGAAGCTTTAATTTATTTGCCCATATTTAGGCCTATAGATACATTTGATGTGAAGAAAGTGACATACCGTACATTGTACATGTAGGCCCAACCTTTTGATAAAATGAACAAAGAACCTGCAGCACCAAAATCAATACCTCTGTCACATCTTGCCTGCTTTAGTGCAATGATGCTCTTCCTGATTAACTTCTTTCTATATTTACCAAGACCAATGTACATGTACATACATGTACATCCATGGCAGATCTGTATGGGCACATAATGTACTGTACACATGTACACATGTAATTGAAAAATTAACTTGCTGTGGTAACTGTTAACAAACGATAAACACATCAAACAAAACCACACCAAATGTCTTGTCATCAATTCCATTATCTGTCATTCCAGCACTGAGATAATGACTACTGAGATAATGACTACATGTGTAAATGAAAAGGGCAATTAATAATCTGGACAGAACAACTGTAATTAATTTGTTTTGATAAATGTCATGTATATTGGCATCATTCACAGGCATGGTCACAATTTTCGAGGGGCACTGTGAAAACGTTTATTATTTCTTCGGGGGGGGGGGGGCTGATGGAGCCAATTTGCAAATTACAACTTGTGTACATGACAATAACTGTTATGAGATGTTTTCATTCTCACAGAAAATTGATTAGTGTAGTCTTTAAAAATGTTCATGGCCTCAGCAAATTTGAAAACAGGCTGCTGGGGTGGGCCAACTGTTTCATTTGACAAAAACTGTATGTACACTGTACCTGTGAACATGGTAAATGTATACATGTACATTGCATGGCAGGACCTGGCACGTTTTGTGTTAAAAAGGATTTCAGTGAGGACCTCTGGGGCTCTACAATTCTTAGAAGATTGCTTGTTCTAAGTCGGCTACGCCCTGTAGTTCATATGATTCTCGTGACAGAGCCCTACAATTTAAAAGCCAATTTCCACAAAATTAGGATAAACATGACCATGATGTTTTGTTTCCAAAATTGTCTCTATTATCGTGGCTAAAAGGTCTTTTGGATTGCAAGAGTCCAAAGGATACTGCAAGAAGTTAAAGACTGAACAACCGAAAGATTTCTTTACTCCTATATTCAAATTTTCGCAACTTTACAACAATGGTGGTACAGGACAGGCCATGCATTTATTCAAACTTACTGAGGAGATGCTGCCGGTTAACAGTGACACGCTGAACGCAGTTTGTCCACTGATTACGCCAGTGATAAGTTCTGGGGGAAGAAAAAAAAACAGAACAAAATATTGAAAACGAATCAATAAAATATCATCCTTTCTCTACTTCACCCTTCAAAGAGTAAAATATTCACATTAATTTAAGTTGCTCTTTAACAGTTAAATTTTTTTTTTTTCCAAACAAGTTTTAAATTTGTAAATATATTTTGTTTTTAGAGGAAAAGCAATATATTCCCCCACCTATACTTGATGTGTCAACACTTTCATTTGGGGTTGTTTTTATGTCTTTAAATATACAGAAAAGTACGACTGAACTATTGTTACCGGTAGGATGCACAAACTAAATGAAAATTGAATATTTTGTAACATTTAATTTACAAATTTCATTAACTTTTTAAAATTAAACTAACTATGCGTGGGCAGACTATTGTTTTCATGTCTCATTCGAAAGTGAATAACTTCTACATTGCTGGAAAAAAAAAACAATTGAAAAACAAAATAAATACTCATTTGGGCAATTCCACAGTAACTTTCGTTACATTTTTAGGCACGTTGATATCCATAAAAGTCTTACAACTTAGCACATTGTTTCAACAGTCAGACTTTTTTTTCTATTTGAACACTGTAACATAGTCTGTTTGAACATATTAATGTAAACTGGAATCCTTTTTTTTGGGGGGGGGGTGGCAACGGTTTAAACTTTGATTACTTTCCTTACATGAAAAAGACATGAACAATTGTTTGGAGGTCTTGATTTAAAAGTCTCCTCTTACTGGACATGCATTGATAAAAGCAATGTACCATTTATTTGCTGGTACCGGTAACTGATCTCTATTTATTAGTAGGGTAATAAATCAATTTCTGATTTTGTCCACATACCCTACAATGGTGGTAATTTTTGTAACGGTAAAATACCGGTTCATTACAGTTTTGGAGACAAGATAAAACATTTACATCATGTAAAAAAACTGATAATCAATCCAAAAAAAAACCCAAATATTTTAGAATAGAATATGAACCTTTCCCCCCCCCTTTTTTTTAACAGCATTTTGCATGAAAAACAAGGTGCCAAAGTGAATACCACTCTGCTCCATTTGATACGTGACTACCATAACAAAAGCTTTTGTTAGTGTTTTGCATAGTGTAATTGGGTAAAAATTTACAGAAATTAAAAAAAAAAGGTACAAATATAATATTAGGGTGTAACATTGACACGGTGTTGACACAGTGTCAATGTTACGTCTGAATGACATTTTTGCTCAAAATTTTTGGCAAAATATGTATTGAAAAGAATTGAAAGTTCCTGCACTGGTGTTAAACACCAAACAACAAATATTTTGTACATGCAGAGCAACTGCTAACAAGGCATTCATACTTTTCATAATATGGAAATACCCCGGGTAGTGTAACACATTGTGTCCCAATCCGCGGTGGAATGACCAACTGAGAGATTAACTTAAAAATCAAAGTAAACAAATTTCAGGCCCATCCTCCAATAAATTGCCACACTAGGAAACCCCATGTACATGTATACAACTTCAGGACTCATGTTATCCTCATGAATGGTTGAAAGTTGATAACTAAAGGTCTATGTCTGTTTGAAAACAGAACATAGGGCTTTTCCGCTTATTTTTTTTGTATGACTTTATGCGTTTTTGCCAATGTACAGTCATGTTAATAATTTTTTTTTTGTTCAAAGTTCACAAAAAGTTATATTGAGCTAGTATAGCCAACAGATATAAAATGTATAGAAATTAGTTGATGGTGTCATATTGACGTCACTTCGGATTTGGCATTTGAAGACGTCACATGCCCTACGATGACATCATCTTGATTACACTTGTCAATGCACATTTTTGCATTGTGGTCTTGGTTTGTACTAAGGTTGAAGTCAACCCAATAAAAGGAAGTGTTAAATTTTGGAAGCGGGATGAAATTGTAAATATGAAAAAAATCATAAAAAATCAACCGATGACGTCATGGTTACGTCTTTTCGGAATTTGCATACTATTACCATTATCTAGCTATCCACCAAGTTTCATGACGATCAGACTTTCTCTTACATGTGTTTGAAAAAGTCGCATTTTTGATGACGTCATGATGACGTCACACATTTTTCAAAATTGTGTACATGTATATATACCTATTACCTAACAAACATAATACAAAAAGAATTTTGAATTTAGCATGTTGGGTTCGAGAGATATAGTGCTAATCTTCAAAACTTTAAACATCTATATAAAATCCCACGAAGACGTCATGATGACGTCATCTCAATTTTTACATATAACACATCTTGGCCTACCTACATACCGAGTTTCAACCCAATGGGACTTGCAGTTTTGAAGATATAGGACTTTAAAATATGCACATTTGTGATGACGTCACGTGACCCATGGTGACATCATGATGACGTCACTTTTCGGGATACAACTTTGCTATAGGGACTATGCCTGTGGTAACTTTCAATGATGTATGACAAAGATTAATGCCAAAAGTGGCATTGAGAAAAAACGTGTACAAAGTCTATGAGATTTAGGCGACAAAAAGAAGAAGAAGAAAAAGAAGAACAAAGAAAAAAAATGAGAACAAAAAAAAAGGCTTTTCCACAACTATGCGGAAAAGCCAAAAACAAAAAAATCATTCGATGCACTTTATTTTCTCTGTTTGATTTTGCACATTAGTTTTAAACAACCCCAAACCCAGCCCTAAAGCTTTAAGTTTACGAACATGAAAATAAAAAAAATTATTGGTACCTGTTCATGTTTGATGGGTAATGTTGGTTTCTTAGCTTTGTTATTTGGTTGATCCTTGGATACAAAATTCGTACTCTGATGAAAACTATAGTTGCATTTGAAATGTGTTAGTGCGTACATGTTGTAAATATCATACATTGTAAACGGGGGAATTAGGCAAACGCTCTGTTGATTACAGCATATGCTGCATACGTGACCAATTTGAGTTTAAAGCCAGTTTTTCTTGTCAGTGTTCTTTTTAGATGAGCGAAAAGAGCCAGGAAAGCCTTATCCTAACAATGATTGTTGTCACTTCCTCCATAGCAACCACACCCGTTGGTCCTATATTTGTGTATACGTACATGTATCTCCAGCTATTGGATCCATTGCAACAGCTTTGGTGCATGGTAACAATATAACAAATCAATAAGCCACCACAACTGATCAATAGTCCGCTTGTAAAGACAGACCAATTGAAACCAACAGCTTGCTTTTCCTGGCATTTGTACAGGTGTCATATGCATGCTCATCATGCAGCTACATGTTGGTAGTGCTTGAATTCAAGGTTTCAGGTTGTGACCGCATTGGCAATCACACAGGAAATGAGTGACAAAGCATTTCAATTGACACCAATTTTTTTTTTATGGAATCAATTTCAGGGTTATAGTAAAAAGCTGAATAACATCGCGGAATATTAAAAAAACATACCGGAATCTTGACTTTTCATTGGGGAAAAAATAGGAAAAAATAGAGTGTATATCAAGGATGTGACTTTGTGTTTAATTTTGTAAACCTTTAGCAAATATTTTAAGAACTGTTTAAACATTTGCCATTCACAAAGGCTGACGCCTACATGTACCTATCTGCAGACCTGCTTGATTGCTTCTAAGCTTTTGTACATTAAATATGTTTAAAAACATTGTTAATTAGGCCTATTTGCGCAATGTAGGTTTATCTGAAAGGAAGATCCCGTGACAATTTGGGTTTTTGTTTGAAACATTTTTGAAAATTTGTTAACGCATAGGTCCTATTAAAAAATTTTTTTTTTTTATTAACCCTAACTCCATAGGCCTTTTTGCTAGGATGTACATGTATGTAGCCTCAATCATGCAAAATCCTCCAATTGGCCTCATGGAAAAATAGCATATATAGCCTCAATTCTGCAAATTCCTCCATTATTTCTTGAATATGGTCCATGGAGGGGTGACCACTGCCTCCGGCTATGACTGTCAATAGGCTGAGGCAGAGGCAGTGACATCCTGGAGCAGTGCGGAGGATGTCAAGTATAATCAAGGACGAAACTTATGCACGGCTGAGCATAAACAACACAAGGTCCGGCCCAAGACCTTGACAAAGTGCATACTCCGAAATCAGCAACGCACTTTTGCCATGTAACCTCAATCCTGCAAATTCCTCCAATTTGCAAAAAGGATTTTGGAGGATTCAGGGCGGTTAGGGTTAAAGTTTAAATTCAGAGGTTTAATCTATGCAACCATAGGCCAATATTCCTACAGGTTGCAGGGGGAACAATATGGGGGGGGGGGGGGATCGGGAAAATGAAATTATGATACCAGCTAAAATATATTGATTGCTATTGATTGGTTCTCCACTAGTTTTTACTCTGCTTAAATGCGCTGTGAAATATTTTCTGCCTCATATCGGTAGTTCCATAAAATACACATACCGGTATACACAAATTAACAAAATTAAATTTTAAGTTTGGCTGCATTTTTATATTCACTGGTTGCATTTATGCCACTTACATTTAGTGCGTTTTCAATATTATACACTGTACGTCAACTTCAGTCATCTAACTACAAGCTACATAGACAATAACGTTGTACAAATTGAAATGGATTCATCACAATGAAATCGCCAGTCTGTCAGGGTTGTAAACAAAACAGATCACAAGAGCCACAAGTATCATGTACAATCAAACTTTCCATGTGTAAAATTAAAAGGCTAGTTTGGGGTATTCCCTAAGTACGAGTACCGGTACATTGTAAAAACCCATCCTCAGTTCAGCTTGAGTCTTGTAACTCTATCACTTCAGTACAGTAAACAAATCACTAATATTTCAAGACTTTCAACTAGTCTTTTAGAAAAATTAGGAGAACCAACTACCGGTACATGTACAAATGTAGGTGTAAAACAAAATCTCAAGGGAGAAACGGCTTTTAATTCCAACAAAGTTTTTCCTGCAATGTCACAAGCAGTGGTTTTGCCCACAGTGACACACAAAAATGCTTTCCTATGTGGTTTTTGCCAATGGCCGCAGCCTCAATTCTATGAAAGCAAACAAA